GCTGCGTGACCTCTGGCCTCCTCCCGTATTCTCACACATGAACATCTTCATGAACACATACACACAGGCTGCGTGACCTCTGGCCTCCACCTGTATTCTCACACATGAACATCTGCACAAACACATGCACACAGGCTGCATGACCTCTGGCCTCCTTCTGTATTCTCACACATGAACATGTACATGAACACATACACACAGGCTGCATGACCTCTGACCTCCACCCCTATTCTCACACATGAACATCTGCACAAACACATACACACAGGCTGTGTAGGCTGAATAACTCATTTCTGTGACTCTGGAGACCCCAAAGCTGTGGGCTCACCTTGGGACTCGGTCATCGCAGGTCCTGGGTCTCCTGTCCCTCTGCAGGCTTTCAGCTGAGTGGCCATCTCCTGCAGCTGATCATCCTCAGGTACACAGACGAGAGTCTCCAGCTGGACTTTGATGACTACCTCAACTGCCTGGTGCGGCTGGAGAACGCAAGCCGTGAGTGTACAGGGGAACTGTGAGTGTGCGGGGGAGTAGTGAGTGTGTAGGGGACTATGCGTGTGCAGGGGACCATGCATGTGCAGGGGAATAGTGAGTGTGTGGAAGAACTGTGAGTGTGCGGGGGGTAGTGAGTGTGCAGGGGAACCATGAGTATACAGGGGACCATGAGTGTGCAGAAGACCATGAGTGTGCTGGGGAGCCGTGAGTGTGCAAGGGAATCATGAGTGTGCAGGGGACCATGAGTGTGTGGGGGAATAGTGAGTATGCAGGGGACTATGAATATGCAGGGAAACTGAGAGTGTGCAGGGCAGCCATGAGTGTGCAGGAAACCATGAGTGTGCAAGGGAGCCAAAAGTGGACAGGAGAGCTGAAAGTGTCCTTGGACCCCTGGGGGCATGGAGTGTCCAGCTCAAAGTCTCCAGCCCCCGTCTATGGGTATATAAGAAACAACCCGGGGAAAATACAGTAGACCTAGGACACAGAGGGGCACCGTGGGGTCTGTGAAGATAACTGTGCCCTGTCATCAGCCTAGAGATGGGATATGAGTGACTATAGACTATGTCCCGTGGCTGCCATTCGTCACACACCTACAGATTGCGAAGGACTGTGAGCAGGCAGGTCCCACGCCACTTACTGAGGGAAGGTCCCATTTCAGATCGAGTCTCCTCATAGAACATTGTCCCTCACCTGCTGCTCTCCCTCTGAAAGCCTAGACACAGACTCAATCATTTAAAGCAGGGTCTGCTATGCCAGAAAGTGGGAATGCCTGTGTATATGTACTCTAAAGAGGTGGTTCATTATCATACTCTCCCCCTACAAATAGCCCTGGAGAGTGGCCAGTGTGTCCAGGGCGGCTCAGCCATCTTTTGTCCCTTCTGCTGCAAACAAACATAAAGCCAATCCTTGTGGCTTTAAAATCATCATGCATTTTAGAAAAATTCTTAGCTAATCTTCACCACTATGGGTTGCCCAATCCGTAGTGAAGTGTCCAGGGTAGTGACAGAACATTGTCACCATTGCTTGGTAGACTTGGCACCCAAACGGGTCCATACTGCATCTATAGAGTCTCCCTTCTCTCCTTTCTGCTCCGGGACAGCCCTCCTTCTCCTTGCTAATCAAGATTTGGCTGTATCTCTTCTGGAGTGGAAGCCTGGTTCCCAGAGAAGATGGTCACTTCTCAGGTCTCTTGGGCCAGGACTTGAAGCCCCTTGGACGGTCTCCACCTTGCCAGGCAGGGAATTTGATCTCCACTAGAGGGAGCAGCTACCCGCAGACTTTCCAGAGGTCCAGGATCCCTTAGGCCGGCCCTGGGGCTGGTCTCCACCCAATGTGACGCTTCCTCCCTTCCACCAGGGGTGTTCCAGGCTCTCAGAGTAAAGAACAAGGACATCATCCATCTCAGCATAAACGAGGTATGGCCAAGCGGACCCCAGCCAGGGCCCGGCAGAGTACAAACGCTCTGTAATCCTTACCCGAAACCCCCGGCAGGACTAGCACTCACAGTGGGCGATTACACAGCAGCGTAGAGGCTGGTGTTTCCGTTCGCTTAGCAGTCGGTAGGATCCGTGCTGCAATCCTTTGAGCTGCGGGTGTCTTCGTTGCGCTCATGTCTGCTCATGCTATGCCCAGGGAAGCACGTGTGGAGGAAACAGAACATTCCCTGCAAACGTGAGCAAGCCTGGTAGGAAGACGGAAAACGCTTCCGGCTGCTTCCGTAGCGGTCCACTTTCTCACAAGGAGCCTGAGCCGTCCGCCTGCTTCTCTTTCCCTCAGCTCCACTGTAGTAGAGCATCACCTTTATCTGAAAGGGGGAGGCTCACCAAAAAGCAAGCACGACTCACACTGCCCTGCCCAAGATGTCTCTGTGAGACTGTCCCCTTCAACAGGGAGAAAATATTGTCATCTCTCTGTCCTGAAAGCTCATTTAGCCTTTGGAAAAAAAAAAAAAAAAGATTCACCTGGCTGGGGAGATAACTGTGTGCGAAGTGCCTGCTGTACAAACATGGGGACCCGAGTTGGAGTCCCTCCCGTGCCCCCATAACCATGTAAAAAGTCGCCTTTGGTGGCACGTTCTGTGATCCAAGCACTGGGGCCCGAGGCAGGTGGATCTCTGGAGCTCATCGGTCAGTGTGGGTAACCAGTGAGCTCCAAGTTCAATGAGAGACCCTGTCTCAAAATAGAAGGTAGGAAGGAAAATGCCTACATACATAAAATATTATATATTTTAATTTATATAAATCAAAACACACCTGCCAAGTTTGTTTCAATTTAAATATTTTTAAAAATGGTTTCATGTTGAGCCAGAAGTCCAGATTTGTAGGGAAAATGATCAGCAGAGGACGTGTGACATAAACTGAGGCCACTCCCGTGCTAGACCGGACTCGGAAGGGCAAGCCCTCGTCTCTCTCTTTCTTTCCAGTTCATCGCCTTGACCATGAACATCTGAGATTGCACCGGCGTGCCATCTGTCCCTCCGATACCCAGCTTCTACACCATCAGAGTTCGGATGTTTACTGGAAGGCCGTCCTCCCCACTGCTCTCTCCCTGCCTCTCGCCACCCCCACCCCCGCCCCTCTCACCGCAATCTGGAAGAATTTAAAAGAATTGGTTGTGTTTTCTGATTCTGATACTTCCCGTAAAAATCATTTCTTCACAAGAACCAATGGTGCCGGTGTGCCTGTTGTTAGGTTCTCCTCATTCTCCTGCCCCCACCGCTGACTGGTCATTCAGTGTTCCAGTATCTGAGTTCCTGGTTTCAGCATGCTCCAGTCATGCTACTAACACACACACACACACACACACACACACACACACACACACACACAATGTTTTCCTTTTTTTTCATTCAAGGAGAGATTAGTGAAGATGTTTATCTCGGGTGGAAGAAATGGAGCCTGCTGATGCTGAGAGTCTGAGATATTATGGAGCAACCTGGAAATTATTCTGCTAGTACTGTAGGTGACTATTGGCACTGCTGTGGTGTGTGTTATATGCTTATGCCTGTGTGTGTGCTGCTCATGCACAGAGATTGGAGGACAACCTCAGGTGTCCATTCCTCAACCACTATTTGTCTTGTTTTTTAAATAGTTTTATTTATTCTCTTTTAAATTCTGAGCATACACGTATGTGTAGGTGCGCCTGAGTGCAGCTGCCGTCGGGAGCCAGAAGAGGGTGTCAGATCTTCTCTAGCTGAAGTCTCAGGCGGTTGTGAGCTGGGCGGCAGGGGTACTAGAGACCTGGGTCCCCTGCAAGAGCAGCATGGGCTCTTGCCTGCCAAGCCCTCTCTTCAGCCATCCCATCCTGGGTTTTGGTTTGTTTCGGGCTGTGTTTGTTTTTTGTTTGTGAGGCAGGGTCTTTCACTGGGCTGGAACCCACCAGATGGGCTAGGCTGGCTGGCCAGTGAGTCCTAGGGATCTGTCTGTCTCCACCCCTCCAGCGCTGGGCTTCAGATAAGTGCACACCACCGACTTTGCCTTTTTTAAAAGGAGGCTTCTGAGGATTAAACATAGATGCTCTGGCTTGAGGGGCAAGCACTTTATTCACTAAGCCGTCTCCCAGCCTTTTCATTCTAATTTTTAAGAGTATTTGTTATTTACTTACTAAATGAGATGTCTGTGTGTAACAAGGTGCAGGTGAGTGCAGGTGCCTCAGTGGTCCAGAAGAGGGCGCTGGATTCCCTGCAGCTGGAATGAATTACAGGCATCTGGGAACTGCCTGAAGTGCATGCTGGGAACTGCACTCTTTTAAAGATAAAGTCTCACTTATGCAGCTCTGGCTGGTCTCAAACTCAGAGATCCATCTGCGTCTGTCTCCGCAGTGCTGGAATTAAAAGCGTGCCCCCAGACCTGGCCAGCCCTGTTAATTATAGGCCAGTTTTCCAGCCATCACTACCTAAACATTTTTTCCTCTCTATTTGGAGAAATGACTCGGTGGTTAAGAGCAAGAACTGCTCATGTCAAAGATGAAAGTCGAAGTCTCCACACTCACAAGGGGGCTTCACGGTCACCCGCCATCAATGTTCACTCCTCAGAGTGGTCTCTAGGCTTGACCCCACCACAGCCCTGCCGTCAGACCCAAAGAACACACACGCGAGGCATAGAAACTGTCTCTGCAGGTCCTTAGACTTTTTTCCTTTGGGCTATGCCTGGTGCAAGATATAGTACCAACCCCTGGTATTTGAAATTTGAAGTTGGCTCCAAATTCCCCCAAATCCTATCCCCTTAGATCCTTGTGGTCCACTGAGAGGCCAGGGCTTGAGAAAAACAGGGCATGTGACTTGGGCAATAGTACCAAGTTCACTGGTGCCAGTCCAGTTCTGGGCCCTGAATCTTTGGTGAGAACAAGGCGCCATTCTACCGAGAGCCAAGAATGCCTGCCAACTGCCAGGGTGAAGGCTACCCACCACCACAGCTGTGAACCGGTAGTAGGCTGTGCTGGCTACCAGTGTGACGTGGGCATGTTCCCAGCCCTTGAGCTTTTCAGAAGGGAGAAAGAGAAGGAGAGGAGAGAGCTCAAAAGACTTTCAAGGCACCTGAAATGCATTGGAACACTCCCGGGGACAGAGCCAGGTTCATTGTCCGCAGGGCTATGCCGTGAGGGGAAGCTTTGTTCCTTCCAATGAGAGAGAACATCCAGACAGGCACTGGAGCCTCTAGGAGCAAATACAAGATAGTGCAAAAGAAGCAGCCTTGAATTCAGTGCTCCTGTGCTCTCTGAGACCTCAGCCACGCCACTCTGAAGTCCTCAAGCACAAAGGCTTGAAGGCCAAGCCAGGGGAGGTGTCTCCTGGTCTAACTGAGCGATGGAGATACTGGGAAGAAGGGGGAGAGAATTTTCTCCATACTCAGATAGCTGAGAGTAGTGCCTAGGGAAGACGCCTAAAAAGATATCACACAGAGAACCTGGCTTTCAGAAGTGTCTCAACTCTCTCCTTCCTTTCACAATCCCGGAACTGCCATCTTAGGAGTTTGCCAGATTTATTCACTATATGGACTTAGTTCTCTTGTCCCCCAGAGTCTGCCTCCGGCATTGTGGGTTTATCCCCAGGGTCGTTTCCCATCGCTCTTCATCAGGGCAGCTCCAGCCACCTGAAGCAGGAACGTCCGTGAGATCCACGGGAGGGTTACAGCCACAGCCCCCGAGCAAGTCCCCTCTGTGACACTGATCCTTTTCACGCCCTGGCTGTCGCCTGCCTCCAGCCCCTCTCTCTGGTCCCCTTGGCGCATTCACCTGCCTCTGCCCAGTTTTCCTGGGTGTTCCTCTCAGCCCCTCTGCATTTCTGGTTAAATGTCCTGTAGCTTAGGTCACCATTCTGCTGTCCTCTGGTGCGTGAGCTTCCCTGCTCCCTGTCTATACGCCACAGGAGAGGATATGTGTCTGCATTTCCATCCCTCACCCTGTGGAGTCATACTGGGCACCTCTGCCTCAGCCCCTCCACCTTAGCTTTTGAGACAGAGTCTCTCTCTAAATTTGGAACTTTTCATTTGAACTAGATTAACTGGCCAATGAGCTCCCAAATCCACCTGGCTCTGCCCCCAAGAGCTGGGATTATACAGCTTTTGTATGTGTGCCGGGGATCGAATTTAGCTCCTCCTCAGGGCTTGCACGGCAAGCCCTTTACCACTGAGACCCTTCATTTCTACCGTCTTAATACTTTATAGTAAGGATTAAATTTCAACACCAGAAATCTTGGGGCACACGTTGAAACCACAGATTCAATACAAGGTATAACTTCTAGATGGTTCTTCCTCCTTTCAATATATTGAAGATGCTGCTCCAGTTTCTCATAGCTCATATTTCTGATGAGACATCTGTTATCCTGACTCTTGTCCCTCTGTGTGCACTGCGTTCTTGAGGTCGGGCTTCCTTAAACATCTCCACCCTACAGCAGAAGCAAGATGAGCTCCTGTGTTCTCTGTACTTGCTGTCCACTGAAGTTCCTGGGTTTCTGTTTGTTTTTAAGTGTATGGCTTTTATTAAAGTTTGAAATGGGCTACTTCTTTCAAGCATTTATTAACCCACTTCGGCTTTGGGCGAGTCTGGGTGTAGAGATACACGGAGGCACTTGAACTTACCTGACAGCTTGTATGATCATACAAAAATTCATTTATTTTATTTTATGTGTGTGAGCGTTTGGCCTGTATTTACATCTGTGTTCGTGTAAACAATGCCTGCAGAGGTCAGAAAAGGGTGTCGGTTCCCCTGAGAACTGAAGTGACAGGTGGGTGTCAGCAACCATGTGGGTGCTGGGAACTGAACCTCAGTCCTTGGTAAGAGCAACAAGTGCTGTTAACTGCTGGACCAACACTGCAGCCCTCACTTGTTTTTCCCAGTGTTCCACTCTATGACTTCTTCTGTCTTTCATTTTCTCTGTCTGCTTCTCATTCTGTTGGATGCATTTTCTCACCTAAGCCTGTGTGGTTTCCATCTCCTTGGGTCGGCTTAGGTTTTCTGTCTTCTCCCTGTCTCTGTTCCATCTTCCCCCTGGCTTTGTGCACACATAGAACGCTATAGAGCCCTATCTGTGCCCTTGTCTCTCAACCCACGCTCTGGGTCAATTCTGGGTCAGTTTAAATGATTGATTTCCCCCGCATTATGGGCTGTGTCTTCCTGCTTTGTCTGCATGACTGAGCACTTTTAATTGATTGGGAATTTTAGCTTGGTTGCTAAATATTTTCACATCCCCATAAATGTTATTTACCTCTTAAGTGACACAGGTTATTGGAAATCAGTGGGATCATCTGTGTCTTGATTTTAAGTTTTGCCGCCTGGGACCACAGCAGCATCTAGTTTAGGGTCCATTTTCCCCTCTGCTGAACTCACAGACAAAAATCCAGTATAACCAGTTAGTTTTAAGGTCTTTCATCTTTTTAAAAATTATTTATTTTTTAAGTTGTATGTGTATGGGTGTGCTCCTGAGTGTGTGTGCAGGAGGCCTTGGAGGCCAGAAGAGGGCATCACAACCCCTAGAAGTGGAGTTACAGGCGCTTGTGAGCCACCATGTGGGTGTTGGGAACAGAATTTGGGTCTTCTCCAGCATCCTTCTCTCTTTTTTGAGACAGTATTATGTAACCAATCTGGAACATGCTATGTAGCTGATAGTGACCTTGAATGCTAGGATCACAGACATGCATGACCAAACTTGGGTTCTGTGGTGTGGGACTTGATCCCAGGGTCTCAGGTCAATTTCTCTCGACCAACTGAGCTACATCTCTTTCCCCAGAGGTCTGTAATTTTAAATCTCTTTTTTCAGGTAATACAACATTTTCAATGTTCCGGGATTAGGAAGCCTTTAGAGGCTATTATTAAGTCTACCACACTTTCTGGTTCCCCCCCACCCCCCATCAAATTTATGTCTGTCCCCTACATGAGAAACATTGGTGCTCAGTAGCCCACACTTCCTGCTTCATCAGGAGGACTGGAACCATCAAAACACACTGCCATTTCCAGGTTCCTAGAGTCCAGACCAGTCCTGACTCTGTTCAAATGATGTGCTCCCTCACCAACTGTCAAAGGCCCCGTTGTCAGGTCCGCAATGGGAACTTTTTTTGCTTTCTTGTTTTCTCCCTGGGCATCCCTCTGATTGACTTGCCCCCATGTGGGGGGGAGGGGGCGTCCCTCTGATTGACTTGCCCCCACAGGGAGCCAGCTGCCAAGGCACCTGTAGTTTATAAATCCCTCACTTGGTCATGTGGAGTAGGGAAAGGTGGGTCTGGTTGTGCTGGCCTCTTCTGCCATCTCAGGAACTTAAAGGAGAATCGATAATGCAGCATCTCTAAAGGGGATGCCTTTAAGGCTTTGGTTTGAGGGCTGAGAAAGCTACATGCTAGCCTCTGCAATGTGAAGGAGAAGAATTCAGGCGATGTTCTCAAGATGAGCAAATGAACAGAGGTTCATGGGAAGAAATGAGCTCCCTCCATGGGTCTCTGGACCTCGTTTCTGCCCGGCAACTTGATGCAGAACCCCATAAGGGCAGCTGGCAAAGCAAGAATGGGTTTGGTAGAGAACAGCCTCCGTGGGAACAGGAGGGTGCAGAGCTCGGGGAAGAAGGCTGAGAAGTGGTTCTTCAGAATCCTCTTCAAAGTGATGCCTCTAATGTCGGCCTCCATGCTGCTCCATCAGCCCAACAAGAGCCCTCCCACAGACATATTGACCGCCCCTACATCAGAGCAAGTTCCTCCTCTATTGCCCCCACCACCAGGGGACATCTGTCCACTCTAGTCAGCTGACTTGCTTTAGCTGGACTGCCCCCTTCCTGCTAATATTTCCTCTTAATAATTTTTCAAATCCTGACCATCCACGCCGCTCTACCCCTGGGCTGTAAAAGATCACCTTTCCTTCCCTGAATGCAGAGAGATGCTCAATGTTCTGTGTAAGGCAACAGCCCACTGCACAGTCCCCACAACAAAGCCTGCCTTCCCGAGTAGCCTGCTAGACTCTTTAACAAGTGCTGAGGAATAGATGTTACCTTACCTTACCTCCCAGCCAAGCTCCATTCTCCCCCAGCACAGATGTGTGCCCCAATATTGCTCATGCCAACTCGACTCAAGAGGGGAGACACAGAGCTGTCGCTGCATGGCCTCCCTCCTGGATCCTTACTTAAAAGGCTTTTGTTTTCCAAACTACAAGCTTTTCCTGAACTAAACCAAACCCAGGCACATGTGGTTTGTTGTGTTTTTATTACCACTGTGCCGAACGGAACATGTGGAGATTTATTGATGTGTAGATGTGAGTCGGAACAATCTATATCACCACACTGAATGAACTCACTCAGAAGGAAGCCGGGACATCGTGTGTTCATTAAATAACGGAAAATGAAATGTGCATTTTGAGAAAAGCCCTCTTCACCGAGACAAATGAGATCATGTCCTAGGGAAAAAAAAAAAAAAAAAAAAAAAACCTGTACCAGGGAAGAATGGGGCCCAGGCTTCCTCCTGCCTCTTCCTGTGAGGGTGTGGAGAGGCTCGATGTCCCTTCGCCCAGGGTGTAGAGCCGGCAGCACCCTACATCAGAAAGAGGAAAAGAGCCATTTGTCTCATTTGCGTCTGTCCTCCTCACACCATAACCATCCATACAAGACTGTGGCTGCAGAAAAGCTGACCAGAGTTTCAGTTCTTGACTCTGCACGTCTGGGGATTCTTGAGAGAGGTAGGAATGTCACCTGACAAGTGACCTGCTACCTGATCAAAGCCTGAAAGTCAGTCACACACAAGAGAGGAGAGCTGGGGAGGACAGAATTCAAAGGGCCATTCAAAGGCCAGTGTCTTGGGGAGATGGATGGACTGTTGGCCTCAGAGCTCTATCTTGGGGAGCTGGGGCAGCGACTTCTAAAGCATTCGTGTCCCCCGCCCCCTTTAGCTGGTACATTGCGGTTGACTTTGACGTCTTGGGGCTAGTCCTCAATTTTCCGAAAGTAGACATATTACTTCCCTTTTTTTAGAAAGTACATTTATTTACAGGCCTGGAGAGAAGGTTCAGGGGTTAAGGGCACTTGCTGCTCTTGGATAGGAACAGGGTTCCTTTCCCAGCATCCACATGACATCTCATCATTGTCTGTAACTCCAGGAAAGGAACTGATGCCTTGTTGGGGTCATTGTGGGCACAGGGCACACACATGGTACACAGACATACATTCAGGCAAAACACTCACACACACAAAATTGTTTTAAAATTACATTTATGTATTTATGTACTGATTTATGCATTTATTCCATCTATATGTGCACAAATACACCTTGTGGGGTGAGCCTGTGCCATGGTACATGTGGAACTTGTGAGAGGCCGTTTTCTCCTACCATGTGGGTCCCAGGGATAGAGCTCATCAGACTTTACCACCAGTGCTTTTACCACCAACCCATCCTGTGGCCCTGGGTTACTTCTCTATTGCAGAGAGTTAAACCTCACTGCAGTTTGCAAACTTTGTGCGAAGTGATGCATAGACCTAAGGAGTAGGAGAGGATGTTACAGAGGTCTCTAGATTTTCAGGATGTGGGGCACTAAAGAATGATCATTTAGCTGTTAACATCCTAGCTATTCAAAACTTTAGAATTCTGAATGCCTAGCAAAATGGAGTGTGGAGGAGACGCCCCTTTACTGAAGGACGGAGTAAGAACGAGGCAAAGCAGCTCTGCCAGGGACAAGCTCCCAAAGGCGGAAAGGCACCAACGGGAGCTGGCTTGCTCAGAGGACAGAGTTCACAGTGAGTCAGTCTTAGCCGAGGGAAGCGAGAACGGTGATTGGAGGCTGGACAAGGACAGCTGATCTGAGGCCATCAGACAGGGAGAAACGGCACTGCTGAGGAACTGGGTAACACTGGAGAATGTCACTGTGAAGTCTTCAGACAGATAGATAGGCGATTCAGACCAATGAGGCAAACCATGAAAAGTCAAGCTTTCCCCAGGCAGTAAGTGTGAAGCGAGAGCTCTAAGGGAATGGGGCCTTGGAGGAGCCTTGTATGCGGCACAAGTGTCCTGCTGTGAGCCCCCACCTCCTCTGCGGAGTTTATTAAGACTCCAGATCAGTGTAATAATAAACAGATCACCCAAGTTCTCCTTGTTTAGATTTGTTTTCCTCCTTACCTTTATCAAAGGACATCACACACTCTACTTTCCCTGAGTGTGTTTGTACACGTGTGTGTGTGTGTGTGTGTGTGTGTGTGTGTGTGTCCCACTTGCTAGGCAAGGACCCTGCCACTGACCTACATCCACAGCCCTCTTTTCAGTTTCCGTGTTCAGAGGTTGTCCAAGCTAGCCTTGAACTCATTCCTTAGCTCAGGCTGGCCTTGAACTTTGAATCTTCATACTTCAGTCTTCCGAGTTGCTGACATCAGACCCAGCAGGGCAGAGACATTTGAAAAATGATAAAAATGTTGGGGCTTGGAGAGATGGCTCATCCATTAAAAGCATTGGTTGTTCTTCCAGAGAATCTGGGTTCAAGTCCTAGCAGCCAGCCACATGGTGGCTCACAACTGTCTGGAACTCAG